CCCTAAAGAAAAACCCCCAAAAAAAAAAAAAAAACACCTTTGAGGGAGCTGGCAGGTGGCATGGTGGTTAAGGCACTGGACTCCCACATGACTGACTGTGGTTCAAGTCCCAGTCCTGGAGACTTGCTTTCTCTCCCTTTCTCTCCTTCTCTGTATCTCTCTCTTGGGTCAAACTGAAGATTAATAATGATAAATAAGATTAAATAAATAATTATAGAGGAAAAACTTGTGAACTCCACTGTAGCATGGATCCTCATGATTGCTTTCTCCCGTGACTGAATCCAGGAAGAGTCCCTGGCACATTGCAGACACAGTTTAAATACTCATCCATGGATGGACGGATGACGATAGACTGGGCGGTGGATGGCTGGATAGATTGGGTGGAGGTTGACTGCATAGACCGGGCAGTGGATGGCAACAGTTTGGGCAGTGGATGATGGTAGACTGGGTGGTGGATGACAGTAGATTGGGTGGTGGATGACTGAATAGATTGGGCGGTGGATGACAATAGACTTGGGGGTGGAAGAACAAATGTAGATGGGACTGGCAGGTGGTGTAGTGGTTATGATGCTGGACTCCCACATAGCTGACCACTGTTCGAGACCTGGACCTGGTGCCTTGCTTTCTCACTTTCTCTCTCTCTCTCTCTGGTCAAATTTAAAAATAATAAGAAAAAATAAAATTAAATAAATAATTCTTAAAAAGAAGAAGAAGAAGAAGAACAAGAACAAATACAGAGATGCAGGTGAAGGGCTAGTAGAAGCTTCTATACGTACCCCAGTCCCATGGCTAGTGCAGATGTAGGAAGTGGGGGGATGGAGGGGAGGGTCTTTTGGCAGATAATCTTCTGCTAACCCCAGCAGTTTCTTTTATTCAAGTGCTTATAAAGAGAGTGCCAACTCAAAAAGTCTCTAAGCCCAGTGGTAAAGGGGGAAAAGTCAGAGAGAGGCCCCTAACCCACCTCCAATACCTGGGCCCTGCCCACCAGAGGCTCTCCAAAGGGAGCCAAGTAGGTTGCCCCCAAATCTCCCTACGTCTGCAAGGATGCAGTGGCATGTGTCTGCATCCCAGCACTTTTCTTGCTAATAAACTGAAAGTTGTTAGAGAATACATATGTCTTTAAGTGGTTTTTTTTTTCTTCCATTAGTGAGAGACAAAAGACACAAAGGAAAGAGAGAGACAGCATCCTCAATAGGGTCTCAATGCCAAACCCACCCCCATGGGCATGCGCTGTGTCTGGCTTATTCAGGGAGGTCTCTGGGTGTGAACCTAGAACCTTCCCATGTGGGTCAGCTCACAAAGAATCACATTTAGTGCTGTGACCCCTCTGGCCCCCTGTGAAGTTTTAAATCTTTACTCTTTAAAAATGCATCAGTTGGGCTGACTTGGTGGTGCAGCAGTAATGAGCTGCTTAAGAGATACTGGCTCTGTATGGGAGATTGCAGGTTCAGTTCCCTGGTCTGGTCTATCCACACCTGGCACACATGGTTGCGGCTGGCTGGGAAGGCTGGGGAGTGGGTGGGAGAGAGGAACTGTACCAGGAGACCCTGTGGACAGTGCTTGTTTTCACTCTCTTTCTCAAAAAAAAAAAAAACAAACTTAAAATAAAATGCATCAATTGGGACCAGCAGTTGGCGTAATGGCTATGTTGCTGGACTCCCATGTAGTTGACTATGGTTCGAGTCTTGGACCCAGTGGCTTAATCTCACGCGGGGCATGTGTGCGTGCATGCCCAAGATCCGGAGAGGAGAAAGAAGGAAAAGGGATTGCGGAGTGGCCATCTCCCCCCGGGGGGGGGGGTTAATTCTTGCTTTCTGTCTCTCTGTCTTTCTGGCAAGCACACACGCCCTATAGCAAAAACCTCTCCCCCCACCATCGCAAAAATAAAAGCATCAATCTACTCTGACAATGGACTGAATTTTCTGATGACAGGGCCCTTGGGTGTCATTCTCAGGTTCTGGAGAGAGGGAGAGAAGACACGCTGGAGGTCTGTCTGGGAAGTACCTGGAAAGGACAGTTTTGGGGGGAGCTGACCTGCTGAGAACTGAGTAACCCAGCTGAGCATTTGCTAGAAACAGCAAACACAAGTTCCCATTTGTCTTTTTTCCCCTTTCTGGTTGAGATCTTGTTTCCATCAAGATGAACTGTTTATCTGTGTTGCTTGAAATGCTATGGACTGAGGGCACAACCAGAACCAACCCACGCACAAGAAATAATAACCCTTGGATAATACTCACACGCGAGCACCCCAAATCTTTAGAGGCCATCAGTGATTAGTTTTCTTTTTTCCAACACTGAACTTGCTCTCGAGAAATATTTAACCCAACGGCCACTGACAGGCTGTAGCCCCTGTGGCCTGGCTTTGTCAGATCAATCCATGCATGACATCGTTTGCCCAGTGAGTCTGTGGACCCACACGACTCCTCAGCAGAGAGGCAGGGCGAAGACCTAAAAGGCTATTTTCCCTCTGTGACCTCGCATGAAGTTTAATGAAGCTATCAAATGCTCATGGTGTCCAGTGTTGAAGGAATCTGTTTGTTTTGTGAATGGAAACGTCGAAGCTATTTGCTGTTTTATGTAAGATTAGCCATCATGCAAAACTCACTGGTTAAGCAGTTAATAAAACACAGTATCCCCTCGAAGGCTTTTGTACATCAGAGTCCTTACAAAGAACAAAGCAATGAGAACCCCTGCACGGTCCTGAGAGGAAGTTCCTTTGCTTTGTAAAGTGGCCAGCCTCAGCTCGTGGGTCTCATGTATTATAAATTCTTGAAGCTCTTTTAGCTGCTGTCTGAGCATCGGGCGGCTCCTCCTCTTCTTCCTCGGTTCGCTTGTGTTTTAAAAACAAGTCAGACTTTAGGAAGCGGCTGTAGCTGTCATATTTCATGAGATTGAAGATCTAAGGAGGGAAAAGAAAAAGAATCTGAAGGCTGAGGCTAATCCGGGCCATGAATTCTACTGAATATTTATTAAATTCCTACCTTGTGCCAAACAATACAAACATGTGCAAAAACACAGGGAGAGCGCTACAGTAAATGACGTGTTAGATAAGACAGCTATCCTGGATGGTTTGGGTCATCATGCAATAATCCTAATGGAATATATAGCTTAGAGAGTCACATGAACAGACACATCTGTATTCCCAGGGAAGTGTAGACTCATACCCTCTGTCAGGTGGTCCTTTAGGAAACTCCGCTGCTTTTGGATAGACAACATGGGGACATATTTCTCTAACGGCTTGAGATAGCAGAATGAAAACCGTTTCAGCAGAGGCAGGGGTTTTAAAAAGACTACCACTGAGGCCAGCAAGTGGGCATCATGGTTAAGGCACTGGACTCACATGTGGGTGACCATGGTTCAAGTCTTGGACCTGGCAACTTGGAAATCATGCTGGATATGTGTGTGTGCACCCTAAATCCCAGGAGGATGGAAGAGAAGAGATTATGGTGTGGCTATCCCTCCTGGAGGATGATCTGTCACTTTTCCTCTCACTGTCTCTCTTGGGTGAGCACACATTCCCTATGGCAAAAACAAACAACCTCCCCAAAAAAACGTAAAAAAAAAAAAAAATCACTGGGGCCAGCAGATGGAGTAGTTGTTAAGTCTCTGGACTCCCACATGGCCGACTACGGTTGGAGCCCTGGACCCAGTTGCTTGAAAATCAACCAGGAGAGTGTGCGTGTGTGTGCCCAAGATCCCAAGAGAAGAATGGAGGAGAAGGGATTGCTGTATGGCCATCCCTGACCCCCGGGGGGGATTTCCCCCTTTCCTTCTTACTGTCTCTGTCTGTCTCACTCTCTCCAGGCTGCACATGCACCCTGAGGCAAAAACTTCTAAAAAAAAAAAAAATCACCATCATATCAGATGATGCCAACATGGTTAAGATCTTCAAATATAAACAAGATGATGATGATAATAAGTACATTTTTTACAAAAAGATCTCCAGTAAATCAGGGCATCCAAGATCTCAAACAGACCAATGACCATGCCAGGAAACAGAATGAGGTGCATTGAATGCCAGGCACGGGAGTAAAACTAGTCTTAGCGAGGAGGGGATTCTGGAACAGGTCCAGATGAAACAACATGTCAGTGGGGGGCTGAAGCAAACACCTGCACGCTCAGACAGGCTGAGGGGCACATATCTAGGAAGAAACAGTACTAAGGTATGTCAGGTGACAAGGAGGACCCCTGGCCAAGTCTAAATCCTCCTGCGGAGAGGGCTGCCACCTACCAACATCACAGCTTGAAGTCCTGTCCTCTGGCACAGAAGCCTCCTCTGGCTTCCCTCGGACCTGTTCTGGGCCACAGTCCCTATTCCCAGCATCCACTCCCCCCATAACTCCTACCTGGCCCTATGCCATCCAGCCTCCTCCCTCGCCCTACAAAAGGTCTAGGGGAAGGTCAGCCAGGTGGCACAGTGGTTAAGGTGGCTGGATCCTACATGGTCAACTGTGTGGTTCAAGTCCTGGACCCAGGGGCTTGAAAAACATGCCGGGTGCATGTGTGTACATGCCCAAAATCCCAAGAGTAGAATGGAGAAGAAAAGGATCGTGGCGTTGCCCCCCCCACCACACACACACCCAGGAGTGATTTCTCATTCTCTCTCTCTCTCTCTGATCAGCGCACATGCCTGGATGCAAAATGAAAAAGAAAAGAAAAGAAAAGAAAAGAAGAGAAAAGAAAAGAAAAGAAAAAAAATGTCTAGGAGAAGGAGTCCAGGAGTGCAATGTCTTTTTGAGAACTCTCTTTCTCAGAACCTTCATCTCTTTCTCAGACCTTTCAACTTAACTTCCAGGACATGCTGCAGACTAAAAATCCACGCAGCACGCCCTGGTACCTTCACTTACCACACCAGCATAGGCAAAACCAAGTGGAAAGTTCCAGCGCTGTCTAGAATGTTGCTCTCTGCCAGGCGGGGTTATCGAGTGGGTGGTAAAACCCTGACATCTTTGAAAACTGCCGTCTCCCAACACACACACCCCAACTATTTTGTAAATGAGATGTCTGAGTGACCAAAGGGCCCCGAACATCTGCTTGGAGGAGGTGCCGTGCCTCAGGAGGGAACTGGGACTCTCTTACACCTCCATTTGTGGGAGACAGCTCAACCGCCGGAGAACCACCCGAGCCATTTCGCTACGAGCAGAGTCCCTGGCCCAGTGAAGGATGAAGGACTGTGGTTTTCTTCAAACCATTAAGCTCGTACCTGCTTTCTCCAGGGCCCTTCCCGCCTCACCCCAGTTCTCTAACTGCTCAAAAGACCAGACCTCCCGAGGTCCCCACATGGGCTCATTTTGTAGCAATCCTGCAATCTTAGACATGACTGTAATTTGCTGAGGTTTGGAGAAGTTATTATTATTTTCTCAATCCCCCAAAACAGAGAAATCATAGCTAGGGGCGAGACAGCTGATAAGGAATGCCACTAGCCCTGGCTGCCATGAATATGCTGAGAGGTGTCCCTGTCCCTTATCACCTGCACGATTCAGTCCTCGTGGGGTACAGGAGTCCCCCGAGGGAACGTTCAGGTGCTCGTCCAGTTTGAGATCTGGACTGGAGGTTCAGAGTGTGCCTAAGGAACCAGCTTCAAGAGTCCCCCCGCCCCCCAGCATGCAGCCCTGTATCCACTCCCACCCCAGGACCACAACAGATGGGACCCGGCGCGCGGCAGGATGCGGTGTGACCCAGTGTCTCGTCTGAAGTCTTCGTGTGTGGGAGAGGAGCATCCTGTTTGCCTGTCATGGCTCTGAGGTTCAGACTTCAAAGGGAGAAAAAAAAAAGGCCTGCAGGGCTGGAGGCACCAGGGCCAGAGGGGGCGGGGAGGGGGTGCTACCTGGCTGAGAGGAACGCTCAGGAGCTCAGGAGGCTGGCAGGGATGACAGGAGGCCATACGCTGTCCTCTCCACTCCACTGGGGCCAGCAAGCCCGAGGACAGAGGACTGCAAACTATTTAACAAGAGCCCAAGAGCCACACCCTGCCAGTGAGAAATGGGCAGGTGTGAAATGCCCCGTGAGCCCCGAGGGCTTTAGCCTCCTGCTTCCTTCTGAAGCCCTCAACCAACGCCCGGTGCTGCTGCCACGGTCACCAAGAGGCATGTCCATGGCCTCTCCTTCCCGAGCTGGGAGTCGCCTGATGGCTCGACTTGGGGCCCACAGGAAGGCTTCCTGCTGTCATCTGCCACTGCCATGGGGCACCCTGGACCCTGGCTTAGACACGTGGTAACGCGTGTTCCCATTACAGAGCTTACTGCATGGCTAGTGCCCAGCAAAGGTGGCTTAGAGAACAGAGAGCACTCCGAAAAATCTCTTCCAAGAAGGTGGCCAAAGGAAATGTCCCTAGCACTGATTATATCCTTATTAAGCACAAAGGAAACAGGACCAGTGGGGTCCAGGGAAGGTTTGCCAAGTGAATGACCAGAAACTGCTCAATGTGCAAAGGCAGAGGGCTGGTGAGATGAACCAGGGGGGTCCCAGCACCGCCGAGTGTCTTCTAACCACACGCCAGGCAGTGTGTGGAGCGTTTTCTTACTAGATTCTCACCACAGCCCCACGAGAACACTGATTTTACAGAGAAGGGAACAGGGCTTACAGGCTCAATGCTGTGCCCAGATGGGAGTGTATCAGTCAGCTCCAGCTGTCATAACAAGTATCACAGATACTCATGGTCTTGGCAGGTAGAAGTCCAAAGCCAAGGTGTTGGAGGACAGTGTTCTTGTAAGGTCTTCTCCTTGGCTTGTGTGAGATGGCTGTCTTCTCCCTCTGTCCCCACATGGTCTTCCCTGGGCATGTCTGTGTCCTAATTTCTCCTTCTCACTAGGCACGGTGGGTTAGAGCCTACCCTGATGACCTCATTTAACACTAATTACCCTGTAAAGGCCCTATCTCCAAGTGCAGTCATGGTCTAAGCTACTAGACGTTAGGACTTCAGCATATGATTTCAGGGGGGCACAGTTCATCCCAGAGCGGTGAGCAAAAGAGACAGGTGGGAGGCAAACCCTGGCTGGGTAGTCTTCAGCCCACATTCCTAACCTCTGGGCTATACTGCCCCACTTGTGAGAGAACAATACAGTCAATGAAGCCCACAAAGAGAGTTGACTAGGAAACACAGCCCATTAAAGTAAATGACTGATTAACTTTTTTTTTTTTGAGAATTTTTTGGGGATCTTGGGCACAATGCGCATGCACATGCACCCGGCGTGACTTTAAGCCACCAGGCCCAGTACTCAATCACGGTTGATTACATGGGAGTTCAGCGACATAGCCATTATGCTAACTGCCATTCCCGATTAACTTTTTAAATGCACTCAAACTAAAAACAATGCGGGCTGGCCCTGTAATGCAGTAATTAAGCCCCATGCAAAGGGAATCCCATATGGCTGACTACAGTTCAAATGCAGGCCCCAATGGCTTGAAAAACATGCTGGGCACATGCACATTGCCCAGGATACTAACAAGATGGAGAAATGGAGAAAAGAGGGATTGCAGCAAGACCAGATCCCATTAGTGGTTCTCTCTCTCTCTCTCTTCTCTCTCTCTCTCCACCTCTCATGCTCACACACTCTCTCTGGTATAAAATTAAATACATAAATAAATACATACAACTATTACACATACGTTCTTTTTTGAGAGAGAGAGAGATTTTTGCTATAGGGTGTGTGTACTCGCTGGAGAGACAGAAGAGAGGCACAGAGATAGAAATTGAGAAATCCCCCCCCCGGGGGATGGCCATGCCACAGTCCCTTCTCCTCCACTCTCCTCTTGGGATTTTAGGCACACTTGGTGTAAGTTGTAAGCAGCTGGGTCCAGGACTCGAACTGTGGTCGATTGCATGGGAGTCCAGTGTCGTAACCAATTCGCCACCTGCTGGTCCCCATATAAGTTCTTTTAAGGAGTCAGCCCAACCAG